TTAATTTTTTTAAATCTTTTTTTTTTTTTTTTTTTTTTTTTTTTAAGGCAAATAAAAAGTTGAAATTGGAAAATGGTGGCCTGGTGAGGGAGAATTTACGACTGAAGGCTGAAGTTGATAATAGATCACCTCAGAAGTATGTATTTTGCTCGTAAAACTATGTTGCAGATTATGTCAATATTTTAAATTAAATTGCTTGTTTTCAATTGATTCTTTCTATTTAGGCATTTACAAAATATCTTATAGATTTAGGTAGAATATCTTGCCTCTAGAAGGCAAGCACATACTTTGTACTATTGGTAAAAATCTTAGTCTGATTAAAACAAAGGGGCCAGCAGGTGGCATGATAGTTAAGGTGCTGGATTCTCACATGACTGACTGTAGTTTGAGTCCTGTACCTGGCAGCTTGAAAATCATGCTGGGTACATGTGCATGCATGCCCAAAATCCTGAGAGGAAAGTGGAAGAGAAGGGATTGTGGTGTGGCCATCACCTGCGGCAGGTGATTCATCACTTTCTCTTTTCCCTGGTGAGCACACGCACCCTATGGCTAAAACCTTAAAAAAAAAAAAAAAAAAAAAAAGGAAGAAAAATTTTTAAAGTTAATTTTGAAATTTTGAGGAAAGGATTTCACTTTTATCTTTTTTCCTTATCTGATTGAGAAGATTGTTTTTTGTGACCAAGTGAGCCTTTGGTTGGCTTTACGTATAGCTGTTAAATAGTACGAACAGATAGTAGAAAGATTAGGGTAATGTTCTTTTGCTGTTTTCCAAGACAATCTTAGTACTAATTAATGTTCATATAGCGCTTTCTCTTTGCCAGGTACTACAACCTGTAATGTATAAGTATTATTCTTCCCTACTTACAAATGAGAAAATGGGTGCGTAAAGAGATTAAATTAAGGGACCAGCAAGTGGTGTGGTGGTTAAGGTGCTGGACACTCCCACATGGCCAACCACCGTTCGAGTCCCAGTCCTGGTGGCTTCCTTTCTTTCCCTCTCTCTCTTTCCTCCTCTCTCTTTCCTCCTCTGTGTCTCTCTCTGGTCAAATTAAAATAAATGACTGAATAAATAAAATAAAATAATTATTTAAAAATTTTTAAAAAAATAAAGAGATTAAATTAATATATCTAAATCTGCCCAGCTAGTAAATGGTAGAAATGGTGTTTGAATTCAGGCTGTCTAGCTCCAGAGTCTATTCTCTTAACCATTACATTAAAAAGCCTGTCTAAAATGGAATGTAAGTCATTGTTCATTGAGTTTTTAACTTATTTGGAATTGTACAATTAAATGAATTTATTTTTCTTTATCACGGAATAGTTTTCATTCTAACCCAGAAGATTAAAAGATTACAAATATTGACCACCTTGCAGTTAATTTGTCTGTTTAAAATTATAAGAAATATTTGGGAGTTAAGAATTGAAGATGTAGAAAAGATGGCAGACAGCACTTGAGTTTCTTTTTCAAGGGAAAAAGAAAAAGACACATTAGAAGACATTATGTACCCCAAAGTCAGGCAACCTCTCTGAGAGATGGCATTTCAGAATTCCACCCTTACTTCCCATCCAACCAATGGACTTCACTTCTTTCTACTGGAAAAAGACAAAGCAGGCATAAGCAAACAATGGAAATTGATCCTACCAGAAATAGCTTTTTGTTTGTCATTTGAAAAGGAGGAAATGTTCCCTCAGTAAAACCAAGTGTGGTATCAGGAAATGGTAGAAGTAAACCATAATTACTCAAAGCAGGGAGAACTAACCAATAGAGAAAGAAGCATAGCTTTTACTTTTAAATAGTTCCTTCCCTGTGCTCTCCAACCCCATTTTTTTTTTTTTTTCACTGCAGATCATGTCCTCCTTTGAGAAACTAGCAAAATAAGCTTAGGAAGTGTTGTTGTTATGTGGTGGTTTGAATCTCTGCTCCTATCATTTATTGGCAGCTCGCCTTGCCAGTCATGGTAATGTTTGTCCATTAGCCATTTCCCACAGCGTGCTGAATGGAACCAAAACTATTTTGTTCGTAGCTTTTATTTCTTGAAAAGTTGCCCACTGTATTTCAAATTTAATGCCAGCCACAAGGATGTGTGTTTTTAAATATCTGTGGCTCCAACTGGATAAATAACGGAAGAATCTCACCTGAGGAAACCTCTGTCTGTGCTCAAGCATCCACACTTCTGAATCCAATATAATGTTAAGATTTGCTGTCTTTAACTTTTATTTCTTCCCTTCAGGGAAGGGAACAGTTTCACTTGAAAAGTGATTTGAACTGACCCCTATTCCAGATCAATTTGCAATGTATTGAGGTATTAAATGCATCACACTTGATGTATAACCTTGTTTACTCTGCATCACCAAACCCTAGTGAAGATTCAAGAGAAGCTGACCACAGCTGGAAATACCCAAAGCTGGTTCACCTGAGAGTGCTTATCCGTATGGCAAAGAATATGAAATTTCAAAAATTTGAAAGAAAATGCAAGCAAATAAAAATCACCCTCTCCAGGGATCAGCAGTTGGTGTAATGGCTATGTCGCTGGATTCCCACATAGTTGACTGCGGTTCGAGTCCCGGACCTGGTGGCTTAAACTCATGCTGGGTGTGTGTGCATGCATGCCCAAGATCCTGAAAGAAGAATGGAGGAGAAGGGATTGCAGTGTTGCCATCTCCCCTGGGGGTGGGGGATGATTTCTCGCTTTCTGTCTCTCTGGCGAGTGCACAGCAAAAACCTCTCAAAAAAAAAAAAAAGAAAATAATCATCCATTCCATTTCATTCCCTCACTTTAGGATGTGTCTTGACCAATTTTTTTTCTTGTCTACTTGGTTAGGTGTAAAGGTATACTTTTTTAGACACATGATCTTCATCTCTGATGTATCCTACAAGTTGAACATAAATATACTACAAATCATAAAGAAGAGAACTTTAAAATTTAGACACAAGAGGGCCAGCAGGTGATGTTGTGGTTAAATCACTGGACTCCTCACATGGTCAACAGTGATTTGAGTCCAGACTTGACGGCTTGCTTTCTCACATTCTCTCTCGCTCACTCTCACGAGTGCATGTGTCCTATAGCCAATTAAAAATAATAGATAATAATAATAAATAAAACTAAGTAATTTTTTTTAATGTAGACACTAAATAGGAAAAAATTTAGGAAGATGTATTAGCTCACCCTGCCATAGCAAAATACTGTACATTGGGTGGCTTAAACAAGATTTACTTTCTTATAGTCTTGAAGGCTAAATGTCCCAGGTCAAGGTTTGGTAGGTTTTTTTTTTTTTTTTTTTTTTAAGAGAGAGTATTTTGCTATAGGGTATGTGCACTCACCAGAGAGACAGAAAGCGAGAATTCACCCCTCAGGGGGAATTCACAATCCCTTCTCCTCCATGCCACAGTGCCTTCTCCATTCTCTGATTTGGTGCACACACACACACGTGCCAGGTGTGAGTTTTAAGCCACCGGGTCCAGGAATCAAACCGCGTTCAGCTATGTGGATTCACCCCTCAGGGGGAATTCACAATCCCTTCTCCTCCATGCCACAGTACCTTCTCCATTCTCTGATTTGGTGCACACACACACGTGCCAGGTGTGAGTTTTAACCGCGTTCAACTATGTGGGAGTCCAGCAACAACCATTATACCATTTGCTGGTCCAGGTAGGGTAGGTTTCTGGTGTGGGCTTTTTCTTGGCTTGAAGATGGATTCTTTT